CCACGTTGCCACTGCCGAGTGCAATATTTGTGCATCTGAAGCGGGGTGGTTCGGAAAGCCAGCGCCAAAAAACGACTGTGGTGAAACGGTGTCCTCGCCCGCTGGGCATCTTCATCTGCTCTTCCCCTTCCCCTTGTCCGCAACCCGGCTGAGGGCGTCCTGACACGTGGCGGCAAGCTTCTGGAAGTCTGGGTCGTCGTGGAGAGCGCCCCATTGCTCCCATTCCTTGCTCTTCCATTGCTTCTGCAACACGCCACTGTTAACGGATACTGCGATGATGATCTCCCCAGCGACGGTTAACGTGAAAGCCTCGTCATCGACCTTAATCGACTGTTTCTTGAAGCCCCACTCCGTGATGTATTTGGCATGATGTGTGGCATAATGTGATGTACGAGGCACCTTATGATAGGACATGATGTGTGATAGAGTGTGATGCACGAGGTGCTTTATTACATGACCACATGTGTGAGATGTTGTGTGATTGATATGCGGGGGTAGATGACCGGGTATGATGTATGGCATGATGTGTGAGATTATGTGTGGCATGCCGTGATCAACAATATGACCTGAAGTATGACATGCTATGATTCATGGTACAATATGATGGCTGGTAATATGCGTGATATGATGTGTTGTAGCATGTCGCAAATGATATGATCTGATATGAGATGGTGCATGGTATGCCGTGTAATGTGATGCAGGTGTTGATATGATACGATGTGTGATGTGATGTTTGATACGACGTGTGGTATCATGTAGTTAACAATATGATATGAGCTACGGTTTGATGTGTGATACGATGTGTGAAAGTCGATTTCTGATACGACGTGGTGACTGATATGATGTGGTTGGTGATAAGATGCGACTAACGATACAACGCAAATACTGGTATGATGTGGTTAATGATATCGCGGGAGTTGTAGCGTGATGCGGTCTACGGCATGATGCGATGTATGATGTCGATAAGACGTTCATGTCTGATCTGCTGCTCTCTACGGCGTGATACGATGAATGACATGATACGACGTAAATCATGATTCCATACAAAACATGTCATACCGCGTGGGCCGACATACCATTCAAGAGCACCAGGGTGTCGAAGGTCGGTTGCCGCACATCTTCCTCCACGCTCTGAATCACCGCCATCACCATCACTAGCACCAACGCATTATCATCATGATCGTCTCCATCAGTTTCGCTATCACCGCCCTCATCACCAGACCATGACACATCACCATCATTGCCATCATCATCAGCAACATCATCAAAACCAGCATTACGGTGACCACCACCATGGTTCGACCAGTCACCACCCAAGGAGCTGGGCTGACACGGCGGTGACGGCGATATTTGAACATTCCCCACCAATGGAGAGACGATGGTACAGGGCTCCGCAAGAAGCGTAGAGGACCCCGCAATAATCTTCCAGCAGGGACCTCAAGCGTCTTAGGACATGTTTGGGCCATCTTGGGGGGCCTTTGGGCCGCTTTTGGGCGGCATGGGGCATTGGGAGCAGAAGTGGCCCGTCTTGGAGCGTCGGGAGGCCGACAAGGCGATCCTTCCATTGCCGCTGCCATTACCAATACCCTAGAAACCACAGGCTCCACTGTCAGGCACCTCAGGCCCCACACGCCCCACAACCCTACAGCCCCCACAGGCCCCACAGCCTCACAGGCCAAACGCAGGCCCCACAGGCCCACAGGCCCCGCAGGCCCCACAGCCCATCAGGCCCCACACGCCCTACAGCCCCTCTGGCCACAAGCGGTGTTTCGCTATTACGTGTTCCCCCCCCTTGCACCAAGGGCGATCGCCCTGTCTATATCATCCTCATCATCATCATCATCATCATCATCATCATCATCATCATCATCATCATCATCATCATCATCATCATCATCATCATCATCATAAGCAGCAGCAGCATCATCGTCATCAGCAGCATCATCATCAACAAAAACAGCCGCAACAGAAACATAAACAACACCCCAACATCATCATCATCATCATCATCATCATCAGCAGCAGCAGCAGCAGCAGCATCGTTATCATCAGCATCAACAATGACAACAGCAGCAATAACAACAAACATGTTAAAACTGTTCGCTCCTATCTGCTCACATGCCAATAAATACGTATATGCCAAACCCTCGGTACCCGCACTCGTCGTCTTCGATCGCACCCCGTTTGGGGCATATCTTCCTTACCTGCCACGTGCATTTAGTGCAGCCCCTAAAACAAGAGAATAGAAAAGGGTGGAAGGGGGAGGGAGAAGAATGAAGCACGAGAGAAATTAGCAGGAGGGGGGCAAGGAGCAGAAAAGAAGTGGTAGAACCAGACGGGCAGATCGGGTGGGAAGACCCATAGCGGGCAGGTCGGGAAAACGGGCCCAGGCGACAAGGTCGAGCAGGCGGGTTGCTGAAGCGTGGGTCCTGCATGAATCGCGAGGAAGTCTCGAGCGATAGCGCGATTTCGAAGTAAATCATGAGAAAAGCCAAAGCGAGAGCGTGATTCCTGAACGCCGAGGGCGCATCGTCTGAATATACTGCGAGGAATCCCACGCAAAAGCGCGATTCGTACACAATGTGAGAACAGCGCGATTTGGAATCAATTGTGAGGACGTATCAGGCGGGAGCCGTTGTTGTAAACCGGGGGCAACAACCCCAGTTTGAGCCCCGTGACTTCCCCTGATAAAAAACAGGGTGCGAGCCCCAGGGGAAGCACTTCAATGGAAAAAAACAGTGGTCACTGGAGGGGGGATCAACAATAATTATTCTTCACTAGCGAGTTCAACAACAACAACAACAACAACAAAAACAACAAAAACAACAACAACAACAACAACAACAACAACAACAACAACAACAACAACAACAACAACACACACCACCACCATCATCAACAACACCTACATCATCACCACCATCAACAACAAGAGCAACAACAGTTCCAAAATGATAATAGAAGTAAGAATGCTGCATGCCAGTCTTCATATGTGTAGCTCTGAACCTCTGTATATGTAACATATCCACATGTGTATACACGCGTGTGTTTGATTCCCACGTATACGCGCAACCACAGGATGCCCACATTCCCATAAGTTCAGGTACCGTTCTTTCTATAAACACACACACATGTATATACACTGCTGCACCTGAGTACACATCATACGCACATGTGCACAAAACCGTACGATGGCAAAAGCATCATACATAGATTGTTACGTTCTGGCGGGGGGAGGGAGGGGGGCATAGCGCGCGTTGTGGCCCAGAGGGGCTTGAAACAAATACTTGAATCTATATATAAATATATAGAATTCCCTACCTAGGCTCTGCCTAGGTAGGGAATTACCGTGTTGGCTTAAAGGGCCGGGCAATGTTCCACGCCCTGGGCGGGGTTCCCCCAGGATCCGCCCCGCGGTTCCCCCAGGATCCCCCGCTTTGCCTCGCCTAGCTTAGCTTAGCCTAGCTTAGCTTAGCCTAACTTAGCTTAGCTTAGCTTAGCTTAGCTAGGCTTAGCTTAGCTTAGCTTAGCTTGGCTTAGCTTGGATTAGCTTAGCTTAGCTTGGTTTTAGCCTACCCTAACTTAGCTTAGCTTAGCTTAGCTTAGCTTAGCATAGCTTAGCTTACCTTAGCTTAGCGCAGCGCAGCATAGCGCAGCGCAGCATTAGCACAGTATAGCATAGTATAGCATAGCATAGCCAAGCATAGTATAGCATAGCATAGCATAGCTCAACATAGCATAACATAGCATAGCATAACATAGCATAGCGCAGCATAGCACAGCATAGCATAGCGTAGTATTGCTTAGCACAGCACAGCGCAGCATAGCATATCATAGCACAGCACAGCACAGCATAGCATAGCATAGCATAGCATGCCGCAGCATAGCATACCATAGCATAGCATAGCATGCCGCAGCATAGCATACCATAGCACAGCCTAACATAGCATAGCATAGCGCAGCATAGCATAGCATAGCATAGCACCGCGCAGCATAGCATAGTATAGCATCGCGAAGCATAGCTTAGCTTACCTTAGCTTAGCGCAGCGCAGCTCAGCATAGCGCAGCGCAGCATTAGCACAGCATATCATAGCATAGCATAGCCAAGCATAGCATAGCATAGCATAGCACAGCATGCAAAGCAAAAGCAAAACCAGTGCGAAAGTGTAGATGTAGATGTAGATGTAGGTGTAGGTGTAGATGTGGATGCAGGTGTAGATGTAGATGTAGATGTAGGTGTAGATGTAGGTGTGGATGTAGATGTAGATGTGAGTCTCGCTGTTGATGTTGATGTAGATGTAGATGCAGGTGTAGATGTTAATGTAGCTGTCGGTGTAGATGTAGATATTGCGATGTTGCTTTCCTAGATGCTCCAACTCCTAGGTAGGGTCGCACTGGGATAATTTGAAAATATGTTTTGAGGCGGCTGGGAGGGTCTGAACTAGTTGGGGCCCCAAAACATCCACCAGGAGGGGGGACGAAGCCAAATCCACTCAAAATCAATCGCTCGACCCCTCCTGGGGTCTCTCTGGTGAAATTTTTCACCCCGGATATGTTGTTGGACGGTCCTGGGGCCCGAAAGTGGCCCACGGAGGCCGAAAAAGCGCCCTTCCTGCTCGCCGGAACCGGTGCTGGGCCACCTGACCCCCAGACGGCTCCCAAACAACGCGTGCACAAATCCACGCAACACGCGCCGTCGTCGCAGATCTGTATTCGTCACTCCTCCTCGCCGTCGCTTCCCTTCTAGCCTCTTGCCCTGCCGAGGCACCGCGCCACAGGCTGGCGCATGGCTGCTTCTCTTCTTGCCGAGGAGGGGGGCCCCCCACGGGCACGCCACGCCCCCCGCGCGACGCGCCGGGCCGCCGCGGCCCCCTCGAGGGGCACGCAGCCGCGGCCGCGCGGCGTCCGAGAGCGCCTGCCGCGCGCCGGCCGCCGCCCTCTCGGCGGAGGCGCGCGGCGCGCCTCGCGGCGCGCCGGCGGCGCGCAGGCCGAGGGGGCGCCCTCGGCGCTGGAGGGGCAACGCTCCCAGACCTCGGACGAGGCCAGGAGGAGGACAAATCCGGACAAGGATAAGGTCGAGAGGCCGAGCGCTTCGAGCGAAGCCAGTGCCGAGCAGGGCGAAAAAGCGAAGCGAGGCGCCGAAAGCAGAAACGACAACGAAACGACACAAACACGAACAACGAAACGAAGGACAAAACAAAGGCCCAGACCAAGCGAATCAGCGCTGTGGTCGGTCCTTGGGTCAACTCGGACGAGGGTGGATCGAGAACCTCTGAGATCCCGTCCCGCGGCCTTCTCTCGGAGCACTCCGGAACGCTCTGGAACGGATTCGGCCTCGTCCTGGCCCCGCCCGAAGATCTCCGACGGTGGAGTTTGCTCAGTGCAGGGGAGCGGAGCGCGCACCGTCGGTCCGACGGACCGCCCCACGAAGGCAGCGCGGGCGGGCCGAGCGAGCTTCCACTGGAGTCTGCACTGGTGCAGTCAAAACGTATGTTAAGGACGCGTGGTAAGGACGCGAGACCCTTGGAGGCCGAAGTTGGGATTTTTGGGGGCGGCGGCGACAAGTGAAAACGGCAGAGGACGGGCCACAGAGGCAAGGACGCAAGGGCATCCTAGATGAAGGCGCGCGTCCTTACTAGGCGCGTTGACTACACGAGCCAGAGTCGGAATAGTCCCATCAGCCCTTCGGGGCGTGAGCAGTTTCGTAGTTTCGCGAGTTTCCTCCTCCAGCCCCCGTGCTTCCCCGTCGGGGAGGGGCTTGCTCCTCCCCCTAACCCCCCTCCCACTGAGTCTGGAGGGGATCGCGACCCATTGGCGCGTCCACGACGGCATCGGCGACAAGGCAGTGATCATTGATTTGACTTAGGTTTTGGGCCGACTTTGGCCTCCTGGGTGGGGACTCTAATTGATTACCCCCCCTTCTTTGATCGATCTCCTCCGAGATGGCCCCACGATGGCCCCCAAGGCTCCCAAGAGTGCCCCAAGAGGACCCCAATGATCCCCAGGAGGCCCCAACAGGTCCCCAAGAGGCTCCCAACAGACCCCGAGAGGCTCTAAGAGACTCCCCCGAGGCACCAAAGACGCTCCACGAGGCCCCCAGGACCGCCAAGAGGCCCCAAAGACGCGACAAGATAACTCCAAGAAACATTCAAGAGACATCCGAAGAGACTCCGAGAGGCATCCAAGAGGCCTCTGGCCATTCTGCTCCTCCTCCTCCTCATCCACCTCATCCTCCTCCTACTCATCATCATCATCATCATCATCATCATCATCATCATCATCATCATCATCATCATCATCATCATCATCATCATCATCATCATCATCATCATCATCATCATCATCATCATCATCATCATCATCATCATCATCATCATCATCATCATCATCATCATCATCATCATCATCATCATCATCATCATCATCATCAGCATCATCATCATCATGACCAGCAGCATCATCATCATCATGGTCATCTTCATCATCAGCATCATCATCATTATCATCATAATCATCATCATCGTCAGCATCATCAGCAGCATCAGCATGATCATCATCACCATCATCATAAACATCCTCGTCATTAATAAGAATCATCATCATGATCATCATCATCATCGTCGTCATCATCACTGTCATCATCATCATCATCATCATCATCATCATCATCATCATCATCATCATAAACATCATCAGCAGAAGCATCAGCATCAGCATCATCACCATAATCATCGTAAACATCATCCTAATCATCATAATCATCATCGTCAGCATCATCATCAGTAACAGTATCATCATCAGCATAATCAACATCATCTGCAGCACCATCATGTTCATCTTCATCGTCATCATCATAATCATCAGCATCCGTATGAGCATTATCATCATCATCATTATCATCATCATCAGCAACATCAGCATCATCGTCCTCATCATCCTTATCATCAGCACTATCGTCATGACCATAATCGTAAGCATCATCATAATCGGCATCATTATCATCATCAGCATCATCATAATATTCATCATCATTATCCTCCTCATCACCATCATCATCATCATCATTATCATCATCATCCTGCGCCTGTTCCTCCTCCTTCCTCCTCCCTTGTCACCCTCTCCATCCCCGTCCCCCTTCCCCCCCTCCTCTTCCTCCTCCTCCTCCTCATCCTCCTCCTCCTTCTCCTCCTCCTCCTCCTCGGGCAACGACGACGACGACGGCGACGACGATTCCTTCTCCATCCTATTCCTCTTGGGGTACGACGACTTCCCCAGCCCGCTATTCTACTGCATGCTCCTACACATCCCCGATCAAGGAAACTCGCCTGGACATAGATTCTGGATGGGCTGGTGGGGTTACACGAAGCGTCTAGAATATGTTAGAGGCGTGGCACTTCGTTCTGGGGTTGGAGACATGGGAGCTGGAGTCGTAAAGATCGGAGCAGACATGCTCCGCTCCAGAAGGTCCTGTGGGCCCAGCTCCAGGGGGCCGCCACCGGGCCCTGGGACCACCAAGAGGTGATCCGCACAGAGAAACTGGCCCGGGGGAAGGGGGCGGGGCCTCTGGGGGGGGGGGGGGGGCGCGCGTTGACCAAACCATACCGTCGGACGTCCGGGCCAGAGGGGGGGGGCGGCTCTCAGGGGGAGAAAGCATCGAGCCAGCATCGGCGACACGCCGCCGCCGGGTCGCCGGCGGGGGCCCCCCGAGGGCGCGACGGAGATCCGCGTGCCCTTGGGCGCGGGGTGGGGCCGCCGGGCCCCCGCCGGCGATCCAGGGGCGCTCGGAGGTCGACGCGTCCCCCCCCCCCCACACCGGGAGCCCCGGCCCTCCCCGACGCTGCCCCTCGTCATGCTCGGCGGGTTGTGCGCGCGCGGCGCCGCGCGCCGCCGAGGGCGGGAGGCGCCAGGGGGGCAGGGCGCCCTCAGCTCGGCGGGAGCGAGGGGCGACGATAGGGGGGGGGTCCTCAGCATCGCTCCCTTCTCGGCCCTTCGCCTCTTCCGCTGGTGGACGTTTCCTTCTGCGGCGCGGGGGTCTCTGGCTCCAGACCTCTGCTTGACGCGGCGGTCTGCAACAGGGCATCCTATGGGGGGGGAGACTCCACCTGCTTGAAACAGGCGCCGAAAACAGCCAAGATCTGCTCCAGGGGTGGGGGGGGAGTGCGAGGGCCCGCGCCGATCGACAAAACAATGCACAAGAAAACGATCACCTGCTCGTCGGCACACAAAGAGCACCGGCCTGCTCCCCGGACTGTGCTGCTCGGTCGCCGCTCGGCGCTGTGCGAGCGCACAACCTAATCGCGGCTGCTCTGGGGCAGGGATCTGCCAAACAGTTTCGACTGGCTCGGGGGGGGGGAAGGAGGAGCAGGGGGGGGAGGAGGAGGAGGAGGAGGAGGAGGAGGAGGAGGAGGAGGAGGAGGAGGAGGAGGAGGAGGAGGAGGAGGAGGAGGAGGACATCTACCTGGAATCGGCGATGCATCGCCGACAGATCGGCGATAGGCCCCTGGCAGCGGATCCGAACGTTCCTGGGCGGGGTGGGGCCAGCAAACCCCTATATCGACGATCGATGGGCGATTGGGGGTGGATGCATGTCCTCCTGAGCCTATCCACCCCCAGACATGCGACGCCCTGATCTTTTCAGGACGGCGTCCCTGGAAGTCCCGACCGGTTCCCCCGGACCGGCTTCTCGCCCCGACTCGTTGTTCAACGGTCCCGAGGCCCGGCGAGGGCCCCCTCGGGGCGGCCGAGAATGGCCCCGAGCCTCCCGTCCTGACTCTTTTACAGCGCGATCCTGTCTGGGCCCCTGTCGCTGCCCCTGAAGGAGGGGGGGGGGCTATCTCGCGGAGCCCCGGGGGCACGCGGCCAGGCAGGCGTCGCAGAGCGCCCGGAGGCACGTCTCGGCCCGGGAGGGCCCCCGGCGGCGCAGCGCGTCGTCGTCGGAGTCCTGCCCGGGGCGACGACGACGACGACGACGACGACGACGACGACGACGACGAGGACGACGACGACGACGACGACGACGACGAGGACGACGACGACGACGACGACGACGACGACGACGACGACGACGACGACGACGACGACGAGGACGACGACGACGACGAGGACGACGACGACGACGACGAGGACGACGACGACGACGACGACGACGCCGACGCCGACGACGACGACGACGACGACGACGACGACGGCGACGACGACGACGACGACGACGACAACTACGACGATGACGACGACGACGGCGGCAGTGCTCGGCCTGCGGGGGCCCTCACGAGGGCTCCCGGTGGCCGTGCACAGGAGCTCGGGATGGCAGACTGGTGCAGGGGGAGGGGTCCAGCAGGTGGCGCCGTCGGGATCCCAGCACCACCAACCATCGCTTCTCCTGGAGGAGGAGGAGGAGGAGGAGGAGGACCATGGGAGGCGGGGGTGGGGCTCGGATTTTCCCGCGTGCTCCACGAACCCCGCCAGCCCTCTGGGCGATAGGTGGTCTGACGATGTCTCTCCTCCTCCACAGCCCCTTCTTCCCCTTCGGGGAGGGGTATAGCACTGCTCCCTATCAATAAACACCCCCTCCCCCACCCGGCTGGCAGCCAACCCGGAACCATGCGCACACCATGAGGGCCCCCCCCACTATCACCGTCAAAAAACAATACAAAACGCACTCTGCCTCCAAATTCGGATCATGCGCAACCAACCCGATGCGGGCCCCCTCCCACCATCCTGTCAAAAAACAATACACAATACAGTTTGGGACAAAGTCTGGAGTCATGTTCGTGAGGCCCGCGGGCATTTTGCATTGTTTTTCGACGGGGACGGCGGGGGTGTCAGCATAGTGCCTGCTGCGCGCAGGGCTAACATCCCTGACAAACACACGATACCAAATGCACCTCGCGGCTAAATGTGGCTAGTGCGCGGCCACCCCGCGATCACTGTCAGGTGCTTTTTGCCAGGGACGGCGGGGGGTGGTGATGCATGGCCTGCTGTGCGCAGGCCCACCAGACGCAATGATGGGCATTGGTTTTCGACAGTGTTGGTGGGGGCCGACATGTTTCCCGCTGTGTGCTGTCGTTTGCGCAGGCGCACCTGACACAGTCTGCCCGTGCCCCGGACGTGGCGCACCTGGCGCAGCCAGAGGGAGCATCTGGCGCACTAGGCGTGCCTGGCACGCTTGGGCCCCCGGGGGTGCCTGGCGCGCGTGGCGCGCCTGGCACGCGTGGCGCACCTCGCCCCAGCGTCGCGCACATGGGCTCGGTTTTGGTTCCCAGTAGCCGTCCATCAAAAGACGACCGCGGAACATGCGCAGGCTCGGGTATTGCTTATATGTTGGCAGGGCGGGTGGGAGTGAGCTGGACGGCTTGTTATCTGGAGGGTGTCTTGACCCCTTCCCCTTACCCCCTCCCCTGGACCTGGGCGGGGGGGGGCCGCGAGGTGCTACAGGATGCGTTTTCGCCCAAGATGGTCCCAAGATAGCCTCCAAGATCGCCCAAGATAGCCTCCAAGATCGCTCAAGATAGCACAGCATGGCTCAAGATAGCCAACAGCGTGCCTCCAAGAGGGCCCCAGGAGGGCCACAAGACGGCTCCAGGTGCCCCTGGCGACCCCCTCGGGACCTCCCCGAGAGGCCAGAGTCCTTCAAAAACCGCATGAACATCGCTGATTTGTGCGTTCTCACCTCGTCGCTTCCGATGGCGCCTTTGGGGGCGTGAAGATGGCCCCAAGATGGCCCAGGAGAGCTCCAAGAAGGGCCCAAGGGGCCCCCAAGACTGCCCCAAGAGCGCCCAAGATCGCCCCAAGAGGGCCAAGAGCGCCCCAAGAGACTATTCCGATGGCCCCGGAGGGGCGACGAAAATGGAGGATCCCCCCTCCTTTAGTCGGTGGTCTCCAAGATGGCCCCAGGAGGCACTCCAGAGCTCCCAAGAGGGCCCCAAGAGAGTCCCAAGAGAGCCCCAAGAGGGCCCCATGGGCCCCAAGGCGCCCCAAAAGAGCCCCAAGAGGACGCCAAGACCCCCCAAAGAGCCCCAAGAGGGCCCCAAGATGCCCCAAAAGAGCTCCAAGAGGACCCCGATATAGCCAAATACAGCCCCTTCTTTGGCTCAACACCCTCCTTCCTCTCATCTCCTTGCACGCTCTGTTTCACTATATGTGTCTCTTCCCTCTTTTACCCGTCAGCTCTCAGGGGCAGGGCTCCTCAATGGGCTGATGGGGACTCGCGAAGCGTAAACACTTCCGAACCCTGCCGCCACCAATCGAGTCGCCTGAATCGTTGATCGGCGAGGGTAGGGTTCGGATTTCGCCGGAGAGGGGGGAGGAGGGAGGAGGCGGGTCGGCTGGACGATGGCTGGGACGCTGGGTCATGCACATCTTCCCCCTCTTCCTCCTCCTCCTCCTCCTCGTGTCCCTCCTCTTCTCCCCCTCCTCTTCCCTCATCCCCCTCCCCCTCCTCCGTATCCTCCGACACGGGTACATGTGACAAGCACGCTCGGGGGCAAGCGCAGGTGCACATATGACTCAGCCGAATCGTGCGGCATGCAGGCTGCACGGCATACATATCAAGGCACAGCCTAAGACAACATGATATGGTAAGCCACAGCCTTGTCGAGTCCCTCACCTAGCAGCAAAAACAAAAATGCAAAGTAAAGATATCCATAGTATTGCGACGCGGTCCGCAGCATATGATATGCAAAACACAGCGCAGCATTGTACCGTCATTGCATCGCACGACATGAGTTCAGTCGTATGTCTACCTTGCTTCTGGCTGCAGAGAAGCCCGAATCGGATTCGCGCCACGCTTCTCATCCACCCTGCTTCTCATCCGCCCTGAACCTCCCGCTCACTTCCTCATAACAATCCGCCCTGCGTCGCACAGGCAGTCGCGCCGTTGGGACGGACTGGCCGTTCCGAGTAAAACGTCCGCGAAAACAAGAACTGAAGCTTGAAAGCCCCGACAGCTACACAGACCCGGATCCCCCGGCGCCGTGGCTGCTTGAGACGATCCTGGGGGCCCGGGGAGGAGGCCCCTGGCAGCCGAACGTAGCGAAAGAGCTCCCGTCGGGATTCTTGTCACAGCGCGAGGGGGGCTGGGGATGGGGGGCGGGTCGTTGTCAGGAGATTTGAAGGGGCCCCAGGACACACAAATAAATACTAAAAATATTCCCCATATTTTCCCGTATTTTCTGGGTTTCTGTCTTCCCCCACTTCCCATATTTTCCCATATTTTCTGGGGAATCGACAATTAATTGTGTCTGTGTGTTTCTTTTCCTCCTGAAGATTGCTCTCGCCTGAGCGCCGCGCGCACTCGTCGAGACGTGCCGCCCCCCCGCGGCCGCAGCCCGCGGCGGCCACCCCGCGCGCGGGCCGGCGCGGCGGCGCGCCGGCGCGCCTGGCCGTGGGGGTCGTAGAACACGACGGTGTCGACCTCGGCCAGGTCCGACTTGAAAGACCTGCGCGCGGGGTGCCGGCAGGGCGGCGAGGAGGGCAGCAAGGAGCAGAAGAGCACACAGGAGGAGCTCGATCCCTGGCATGTGAGGCATCACTGCATGATCGCAAATACACTCCTCATGTACAGTCGGGGCGTTGACCTAAGGAACCCTAAATAAGGAACGAGGCCCCTTTTTCTCATAAATTAAACTTCGATTCCCCATGCAGGGCGGCGAGGAGGGCAACATGGGAGGCCTGGAAATGGGCACCAACACCAAGACAGAGGGCTGCCTCCACAGGGGGGAGGTGGTCCCAGATTTCGGTGTGGGTGGTGATATTTCGGCCACCTTGGAGGCCAGAATATGACCACCATCACCGAGATCGGGATCTTCTTCCCTCGGTGGAGGAGCACCGCCGATCTTGGTGTTGGTGTCAACCTCTAGGCCTGCGACAACAAGGAGCAGAAGATGACAGAGGAGGAGTTCGATCCCTGGCATGTGAGGCATCACGTCATGATCGCAAATGCACTCCTCATGTGTACCTCCTCCAGTGCAGCTGGCGGGCGCTTCCTCCGCGCCTGAACGGCCTCCTTCCGAAACCTTTGTTTGTTGCCTGTCTTTTCCTGCAGCGCCCGCCACCTGCTGAATCCCACCAGCCCTCTGGGCGTCGGTGGTTTAGAGCGTTTCCTCTTCCACCCCTCCTTCTTCCCCTTCGGGGAGGGGTTTACCCCTCCCCCTACCCCCTCCCCACTGACCTGGACAGGGGGTTCCACGGCGCGCTGGAGCGCCCAAGATCGACCCCTGGGAGGGCTAAAATTCGACACCCCTCACGAGGATCGTGGCTCCTGAGGGGGGGACTGCAATTAGGGAACCCCCCTTCGGTGATGGATCTCCTCCAAGATGGCTCCGAGGCCCCCCAAGAGGCCCCCAGGAGGCCCCCAAGAGACCCCCAAGAGGCCCCAAGAGACCCCCCAGAGGCACCCAAGAAGCGCCCAGGAGGCCCCAAGAAGCGCCCAGGAGGCCCCCAGCGGCCCCAAGGTGGCCCCAAGAGGCCCCAAGAGGCCCCCAGGAGGCCCCAAAGAGGATCCCGAACGGCCCACAGAGGCCCCCCCGAGGCACCCACGACGCCGAAAAGCCCCTCAGGACGACCCTCTACTCGCCTGGGCGTCGTTTCTGGACGGGCTGGTGGGGATACGCGAAGCGTCTAGAATTTGTTTGCTACTTCGCCTAACTCGGCGATTATTTCTGGCACGTCATGAATAACGCAACGATCTCTGGTCCATGTCTGGGCAACGTCAAACGGAGGAGCTCGACCAACTGAGATCCCGCATCTAAGCCAAACCTTCAAAGCTCGGGTCACCGCTAACCAGGCCATGTCGCGAACCCCGGCCGACTATATAGCAGCTCCCCCACCGAGGTCAGCGGAGACAGAGGAGGGGGGTGACGGCCCCACATGGCTCCCGAACCCACGTCGGCTGGAGGGGTTCGGAGGGGATGGGCTAACCCCCGTTTGAGCCGACCCCCGTTGCGTGCGCCCCGTGGGTTCATCGCCGGCCCACGGAATCCCTGCGGACCCCCGAAACATCATCCCCCGAACAGCGCTTGGCTATAACTTCGTCTAAAAAGAACTGGGTCTGACTGTCGGTCGGGCTGGCTTGTTGTCGCCGTCGCCGCCAGTCGCCTCCGTCCATAGCCGCTCCTTCTGGGCCTGGGTGTCGGTCGCCGCGCTCGTTGTCGCCGTTGCCACCCGCCGCCGCCGTCCGTCGCCGCTCCGTTGCGCCTGGGCGTCGGTCGCCGTGCTTGTTGTTGCCGTCGCCATCCGTCGCCGCCTCGTCGCCGCCCGTCGCCGCCACCCCGTTGCACCCGCACCCCATTACATTGCAATCGAGTGCTACGCAATATATCGCATTGCAATCGATTGCAATCGATTCCACCACATAAAATTCACCACATAGCTTGCACCACACAGATTGCACCACGCAAGTTGCTCTACAGAAAGTACACAACGTAACACTACATAGCTTACACCGCGTAGCTGACACCATATGGAGTGCACCACATAGCTTACACTACGCATATTGCCTCACACTGAATCCACCACAAAACTTAAATCACAGATGCTGCAATACATGAATCACACGACACCTATTGCTTCACATTGATTGCACCGCGTAGCTTACACCAGATGTTCCTCCATATGTTGCACCATATACATTGCACCATACAGCTTGCACCATACAGCTTGCACCACATAGTTGACACCATATACAATGCTTAGATTGCACCACACAGCTCACACAGCATAGCTCACACCACACATATTGCACTACACAGCTCACATCACATAGACTGCATTCCTTCGGTTGAACCACTTGGATCGCGCACCACATAGATTGCACCACATACAGTACACCACATAGATTGAACCACGTAGGTTGCACGACCTAGCCTGCAGCACATAGGTTGTACCACATTTATTGCACCAGAGAGAGTGCATCACATAGCATGCTAGATCGCATTGTTTGGGGTCCACGCTGGCTAACACGATGTTGATATAATAGCTTCAAGCCTCCAAAGTGGGACTGGAACAGATGGGGTCAGAGGATCGCACCGCATCGGCGATGCATCGGCAATACATCGGCGACGGCGGGGTGGATAAAATTGGGCACCACGTCACGCCGAATCGCCGATGCATTCTCAATACGGCACGATCCACCGACCCTATCAACTCTGGCCATGCCTGGAAGCCTGGACCTTTGTATTTCGAGAAGCGCCTGTGCGGGGAGCGGCTCCGGCCTCAAGATCGAGGGGTGGTCTGCGTCGCTGCCGCTGGCGCGCGCGTCCTGTATCCTGTTCTTGGACGACATGCGCGGCACACTGTCCGCGGCGGACTCCGCCGTGTCCACGCTGAACCGGACTACGCCGCCAGGAACCTGCCAGGCGAAGGCAGGATGATGATGTTGATGATGATGATGCTGATGGCAGTGAAGGTAGCGGTGATGATGATCGTGACGGTAATGACAATCACGATGCCGATGTCAATGACGATGATGACGACGATGACAGGATAGTGAGGTTGATGCTGTTGATGATGCCGACGGCGATGATTACGGACATGATGGTGATGATGATGGTGATGATGATATGATGGTGATGAAGCTGATGCTGGTAAATATACGTATGTCCTATCATAAAATAACGAACATGGGATGAGTATGATGATGACGGGTGGATGACGGCGATGATGGTGATGATGTTGGTGGTGGTGGTGATGGCGATGGCGATGGTGATGATGATGATGATGATGATGATGGTGGTGATGATGAGGATGAGGATGAGGATGAGGATGAGGATGAGGATGAGGATGAGGATGAGGATGAGGATGAGGATGATGATGATGTTGGTGATAATGATGGTGATGGTGATGGTGATGGTGATGGTGATGGTGATGGTGATGGTGATGGTGATGGTGATGATAATGATGATGATGATGATGATGATGATGATGATGATGATGATGATGATGATGATGATGATGAGGATGATGATGATGAGGATGATGATGCTGATCCTGGTGCTGATGCTGTTGGTGATGGCCCCCCTCCTCTCCTGCGGACAACGCGCTCCTCGCACAGCCGCCGCAAGCCACCCACGGCCCGCCGCCCCTCCAGGCGCGGTTGCCCTGGCCGGCGCACGTCGCTGGCGGGAGCGAACCTCCCCGCTCTGGCCCCGCGCGGGAGCAGCCCTCAACGCGCCAGCCTCGCCGCCCGATCGGCGACGTGGGCGGCCGCGCCAGCGCCTGCTGCGCAGCGCCGCGGGCCCCCCAACCAGCCCGGCTCCGTCAGGCGAAGCCCGCGCCGCCGGCGGAGGAAGGCGTCTGCCTGCCCGTCGGACGACGGCTCCGCCAGGCCCGTGACCCTCGCCGACGCCGCGCTGCAGCCGCAGGCGCTGCAGGACACGCGCGGCCCCGCCACGCAGAGCACGCGCGCGTCGCGGATGGCTGCAGTCCACCATGGCGGCCTCGGCGGGGGAGGCACGGCCGCCGCCTGGCCGCCGCCTCCAGCCCTCTCCAGCGGCAGGCGCAGCGGCCAGCGCGACGCCGCGAGCGCGGCCGCGGCCCCCGCGGGCCAAGATTGAGGGCGGCGGCGGCGGCGGGCGCGGGGCCAGGCTCGGCGGCCTCCGGCGGGGCGGCCGCGGCACCCCCCGCGCCTCGCATCCGCCGCGGGGTCTCGTCAGCAGCACGCGCCTCCTCGTCGCCGTCGGGGGCGCCCAGAGATGCGCCAGGCGCAGGGCCCTCGGCAGCGGCCCCATCAGCCTCGTCGCCGCCGCCCGCCTGGCCAGCGGTCTGGGCCGCCAGCGCCGCCCCGACGGCCGCCGCCGCGATGGCCGCCGCCGCCGCCGCCGCCGCGCTGCGCTCGGCCACCTTGGATCGCCACTCCGTCGTCGGCGCACTCCCAGCAGCTCCAGTGCAAGCCTCCGGCAATCTCCAGGGCCGCGCCGCGGCAATCGCACGCTCGCACCGCGCACCGCGAGCCCTGCACGCCGCAATCAGCTCTGGGCCCCTGCCGGCGCCGAGGCCAGGGGCACCGGATGGCCCCCAAACCAGCAGCCGCGCATCCGTCGGGCGCCCAGTGGAACGCGTCGCCCTCCTGCACGGCCGTGCAGCGCCAATCCACGAGGTCAGCTCCAAGGCCAGGTCGCCAGGTCGATGCGGTCTAGCCGCTCCTGCGGGGCCGCGCGGAGGCAGGCGCCCTCCTTCGCTCGACCGTCGGCCGCAGCATTCCCCGCACGCTGCCAGTCGGAGATGCGCCCCTGGCGGACGTCGCAATGCGCGCAGTGCGTCTTTACTTTCACAACGCTGATATCGCCGCTGCCGCGGTCCTCGACAAGCCGCCAGAACTGGCACCACGGCTTGCGACACGCCCTCCTCTACGCAGCGCACCACCGCTCCCCAGTCAACCTTCCATCATAGACCAGGGCCGAATCCGTGCATGGGATGATCGGGCCGATGCAATGCCGAAGGGCCATGACAGCTGCATGCGGCTCGCCCGCGCCAGTGTCCTGCGGGAGCGGCCACGGCACGTTCCCCCACGTGGCCGCGCGCTCTGCGTCGTTAGCCCACGTCGTCACCGCGGCCCAACCTGCTCGCGCGAGCCGGCGGTCCCGGGCGCGCACTGCCGAACCATCCAGGAACACTTCTCGCACCGCGACGTCGCCCGGGTTGCTGCCCGCGCGCAGAATGACGATTGTCAGGAAGGGTCGCGGCGCCTCCTGCCTCTGATCAGTTAGCAGCCCCCGCGACCACGTAAAGCACTCCTCGCCGCCGCAGGGGGCGGCCGCCTCCGCCTCCTGCAGCGCCGCGAAGCCGGGCGACGCCCCGAGCCGGAGGCGGCGCGGTCCATCTAGCGCAGGGCAGCGCCACGCCAAAAAAATCCGCACGGCGCCCGCCTCCTCGCAGCCCCACGGGCAGCGAGCCAAGGGCGCGAGCGGCGAGCTCGCCCTCGCGCGCCGCGCGACTGGCCGCAAGCAGCCTACCATGGCGTTGCGGGCTGAAGAACTGCACGCTGCAACTCGCCTTTCTTCGCCATGAACTTGCACCGCATGCTCGCGATGGCGCCACCACAGCGGACCCCCTCCAGCTCCGAGCGGTGGCCCGCCACCACGCGCCACAGCGCCCTGACAAGCCCCGACTCGACGACGCCTTGATGGCATGGTGCCCGACCTCAACGAGGTCCACCGCGCGGTCGAGGTCGTCGCGGACCAGCTTAACTGATGCCATGCGCCATCCCAGCCTGCGGCACGCCAGCAGCGCAGCGCCCGCTGGCCCCGACGCTGCGAGACCTGCTGGCCCCTGTGTCCTGATCGGCTTCCGTCGCCCTCACGAACGCGCCCATGATGCCTCTTCGGCCCTGCAGGCGAGCGGCCAGTTGCAAGCCCTTGGCCCACGCATCCAGGGGCTTGAGGACGCGCTGGAACGGCGGGCCATCGCACACCAAGGCCGAGACCAGGAAGCCGAGGGCGACGCTGCGCCCCGGCGCGCACCCGAAGAGCCTCGCGGCCACCTGGCCCCTCCACCGCGCAGCCTCCTGTCCAACCAGGCCATGGTCTCGCACCCGAACTCGGTGGCCGGCAGCGAGCCGCTCGTCACCAGCCTGCGCGCGCCGGGGACGCGCGCGCCCCGCGCCTCGGCGATGCACGAGGACTGCTCCACCGCCTCGGCGTGGCGCCTGGCAGCCACCGCTGCAGCACCTGCCACCGCGCCGCAGTCCACGCCCAGGTCGCGTGCCTGCTCGGCCTGCTTGGGCCCCCCCTGGTCTATGATCTTCACCAGCGCATCCCTCGGCCCGCCCGACGAGGCCAGCACCTCCAGCTTGGAGCGGAAAACGATGCAGCCCATGTCCGCCTCCGGACCTTCGATGAAGTCGCGGGCCGCGCCGCCAAGGTAGTGGGCAACTTGCCAGAGCTACCCTGCCATGCGCAGCGCGCAGTCGTCGAACATGATGGCCACGTCCACCTCCTTCCAGCAGCGCCTATGCTCCGCGTGCAACACCGTCATCGCACAGCGGAAGGTCCTGCCCGCGTGGCTGCGGCCCGCGATGAGACCACTGGCCAGCTCCTAGCACGCCGAGCTGACGGCCCCGTCGATCATGATGTGCCTGGACCCCGCGTAGACGCACAGGGCTGCCTGCACCAGCTGCCCGGGGTAGCCCATGTCCAGCGCGCGGCCCTGGGCCATGGCCAACGACCACCTCGTAGGCCCTGCACAACGAGACCTGCGCGCGGCTGGCCTGGTTGTGCAGGGCCTGCCACCAGACGGCTTCCGCCGCAGCTCGGCCCTGGCCCCCCAGAAATTGGCTGGTGACTAATCCTGCTGTTGGTGATGGTGATGGTGATGATATTGATGAATATATTGATGATGATGATGATGATGATGATGATGATGATGATGATGATGGTGGTGATGATGATGATGATGATGATGATGATGATGATGATGATGATGATGATGATGATGATGATGATGATGATGATGATGATGATGATGATGATGATGATGATGACGATAATGATGATGAGATGGTGATGGTGATGATGTTGTTGATGATGGCAGTGTTGATAAAGGTGGTGATGGTGGTGATGGTGGTGATGGTAGTGGTAATGGTAATGGTAGGTAGTGGCAATGGTTATGCAATGGTAGAAGTAATGGCAATGGCCACGACAATGGTAACGATAATAGTGATGGGAATGGTCATGGTCATGGTCATGGTCATGGTAATGGTCGTGGTAATGGTCATGGGAATTGTGATGGCAAGGGCACAGGTAAAGGGTAAGGGTAAGAGTAAGTGTGGGGTGAGCTACGGGGAAGGGTAAGGGCACGGATAAGGGTAGGGCTAAGGATAAGCGTAAGGGTAAGGGTAAGGGGAACGGTAAGGGGAACGGGAAGGGGAAGGAGAAGGGGAAGGATAAGAATAAGGGTAAGGGTAAGGGTAAGGGTATGGGTAAGGGTAAGGGTGTAAGGGTAAGGGTGTAAGGGTAAGGGTGTAAGGGTAAGGGTGTAAGGGTAAGGGTGTAAGGGTAAGGGTGTAAGGGTAAGGGTAAGGGTAAGGGTAAGGGTAAGGGTGTAAGGGTAAGGGTAAGGGTAAGGGTAAGGGTAAGGCTAAGGCTAAGGCTAAGGCTAAGGCTAAGGCTAAGGCTAAGGCTAAGGCTAAGGCTAAGGCTAAGGCTAAGGCTAAGGCTAAGGCTAAGGCTAAGGCTAAGGCTAAGGCTAAGGCTAAGGCTAAGGCTAAGGCTAAGGCTAAGGCTAAGGTTAAGGCTAAGGCTAAGGCTAAGGCTAAGGCTAAGGTTAAGGCTAAGGCTAAGGCTAAGGCTAAGGCTAAGGCTAAGGCTAAGGCTAAGGCTAAGGCTAAGGCTAAGGCTAAGGCTAAGGCTAAGGCTAAGGCTAAGGCTAAGGCTAAGGCTAAGGCTAAGGCTAAGAGTAAGGGTAAGGGTAAGGGTAAGGGTAAGGG